ACTACTACTACTACTACTGCTACCGCCACTACTACTACTACTACTACTATTACTACTACTACTACTACTACTACTACTACTACTACTATTAATTCAATTGCTAATACTTCTAATAACATTTTCGCTACAGCTTTCATTTTGAAGAAAAAGCTACACGAGCACGAGCGTAAGAAAAACAAAAAAATAAAAGAAAAAAACAACAACAATAAAAATAACAACAACAATAACAACAAAAATAATAATAGTAACAATAATAACAATAATAACATCAACAAGAATAGCCATGACATCAAGGAAGCAACAAAAAGTCGCAACGATTACAATCAAACAAATGATGAAGTTGACGACGATGATGATGATGATGACAGAAGTGATGATGACGACGACGACGATGATGACGAAGATGATGACGTCAATGAAATTAAATTTAATGATGAGATCATCGAATACGCGTCCCGGGACGGAAGTGGTCGCAGTAAAAGACTGCAGGACTCTGATGATGACGTTGACGATAACAATAACTATGATAATAACAATAATAATAATAACAGTAATAATAATAATAGTAATAATAATAATAATTATGGTAAAAATAATAACATAAACTATAATAATAACAAAAGTAATAATAATTATTATACTGGTGGCAATGATAATTGGAATACAAACAACACAAATTATTCCGTTACATTAAAAATTAATGATGATAATTATAGAAAAAATAATGACAATAGTGATGATGATGATGACGATGACGACGACGTTGATGATGATGATTATGATGATGACAGTGGGAGTGAGATTTCAGCTGGGAATGAATTTTACGAGGATAATGACGATGATGATCTGAGTAAAATGAATTACCGCCCCAAAAAAGCAAAAAACGTGCTAGAAACTACAAATATAACGATGACGTCATTATCAATATCATCACTATTATCAACAGCAACAAAAACAACAACAAAAACAACAACAAAAACAACAACAACATTATCGTCATCAATTTCATCATTCCCATCATCATCGTCATCACCACCACCATTGCCATCATCATCATCATCATCATCATCAACAACAAAAATTTCAGTGCCCACTTCATTCGATCCATCAAAGCAGTTGCATGAAGATCGCAAATCATCATTATCGGAGCTTTCATTTAAATTATTACCATCTTCGTCATCATTATCATCATCACCCGTGTTATCATCATCGTCATCGTCATCATCATCGTCATCATCATCGTCATCATCATCGTCGTCATCATCATCAACGACGACGACGACGGAAACTGCTCCAGACTTCATCCTCCAGATGAACCTAGCGGAGAACACGACGGCCACCCTGCTTGCTTACAAACCGCACAACGTCCATCACCTCTTCAAATGCTGCAACTTCCACCAACATCGTCAACGTCACCATGAGGATGATGTTGGTGATGATGATAAGAAGGATGAGGGTGATGACGACGACGACGACGATGATGATGACGCTGGTTATGATAACGCTGGGAACAGGACCGTCAAACAGAAAAGTGATTCAAAACATCATTCTGCCGATAGCACAGGTATATCTGTATGTACGTACGTAGACGAGTGCATTCTTGTATGTATGTATGTATGTATGTATGTGTGTGTGTATGTATGTATGTATGTATGTATGTATGTATGTATGTATGTATGTATGTATGTATGTATGTATGTATGTATGTATGTATGTATGTATGTATGTATGTATGTGTAAATGTATGTATGTGTAAATGTATGTATGCATGTGTGTGTATGTGTGTTTGTATGTTTCTAGAATATGTGTGTGTTCCGTATGTTTGTTTGTTTGTATGTTTTGTGTTTCTGCACGTGTGCATTTAAGTATTTTTATATAGGTGTTTGCAACTTTAGAATTCAATACATTAATTATGCACGTTTTATATTTGTTTATATGTGTTGTATGCTGATGTATGTGCATGTTTGTGTATGTATGCTGATGTACGTGTATGTATGCTTTTTATGTATATTCTTGTTGTGTATATCTGTATTAAATGTATAATTGTAGGTGTTTGTATTTTGATTAGTTGCCTGTCTGGTTAACAAAAATACATTTATAAAAAGTTCTGTGAAATAAACACATATGGTAGTTTATTGGGAGAAAAAGTGCATGCGAAGGTGAGCTGCTAATGTGAATTAATGCACGCAGGCTTTTATTATTATGATGAATGTTAATTGTTTAAACTTTTTCCAATTCGTATTGAAAAAATGCAACACGTTATAATGGAAGAAGGTATAAGGAGATATGGTAGCGGGCGATGGTGACCATCAAATGGATAATGATGATGGTAACGAAAGTGATGATGATGACGATGAAAATGATGGGGAAATGGATGATGAGGATGGTGATGATGATGAAAATGATGGGGAAATGGATGATGATTATGGTGATGATGATGATGACAATAGCGAGAAAAGTGTGATGATGATGATGATGACGATGTCAAGAGAAGTGTGATGGTGATGATGAAATTGATGATGATGATGGCAAGAGAAGTGTGATGATGATGATTATGATGATGATAATGATGAAATTGATGATGATGATGATGGCAATAGCAAGAGAAGTGTGATGATGATGATGATGATTATGCAATTGTGGTAGCCATCTTGTTGTGATGGCTGCAAAACCTAGTCAGGTGGTACAAATTTATAAACAGAAGAGGACGATGAAATTGGTGAGGATGCTTCTGTGATGATGACGTCATTGTAATGGTAACAATTAATGATGATGATGATGATGACGGTGGCAATAACATTTGCCCCAGATATTTATTCAAAAGATGGTATATAAAACGTTTGTCATTACATCATCATCATCATCATCATCATCATCACTATTATCTTCAGCATCTTCATCATCACTATCATCATTATCAGTTTCATCATCATCATCATCATCGTCGTCGTCATCGTTGGTGTTTAATTTCTTTTTGCGTCTGATCACTCGGGGTACTCTATTGCTACTGTAATCATTACCCAATCCTGTCTAATCCTTCCAATAATACAATAATAATAATAATAATCATCATCATCATCATTATCGTCGTCATCAGCAGCAGCAGAATCATCATCACCACCATCATCATCATCGTGGCCGTTGATGCCAATGAATGTTCTTCTTAAGACCATCTACTAATTGTTGTTGATGGCGACTATGACTATGATGACCCCGATGACGATGACGATGATGATGGCCGTGATGATGATGATGATTATTATTATTATTATTGTTGTTGTTGAGTGTTTGGAATGTTGATCAGGAATATTTGGCTAAGATTTTCAAGTGCTTGTTTGCAC